GGATAAAAAGAGTAAGGGAAAATTATAATCATGTTATAATCTTAAAATTAAAAATAAACAGTCACAACAATAGCAACAAATCACACAGGAACCCGTTAAGGCAGTGCAGACACTTTTTTTTTCTGTCTTCATGCTATGAAAATAATTCTCATTAATATGCTCAGTGGAATTAATGAGTTATGATTGTGAATTTGCCTTGTAAAAGTCTTTTTAAAAGATGAAGATTTATTTTTACAGCGCAAACATTCCCTTTTACATATGATTAAAATTGTATATATAATGTTATTGAATATTATAAAGTATTTTCTTGCATACATTGAGACTGGCATGTGATTTTTATCCTTGCATCTGTTAATCTATGAAAATTGTTAGCTGCTAATGTTGAAATTTTCTCCAATGAGAGGCTAAATTATACTTCACTAAGAAGTTTGACATATTTAAGGCACTAACATAAATTCATTAATATCTTTTATAAAAGATCTACAAATATTTTTCTGAATTTTAAAATTTATCAAAGCTTTACACATGTGTTTATTTTATTGTGATGTCTTTGTCTTGCTTTGCTTTGTAGAACAAAATTTTATTTCTAAAAGATTAACACATAAAATTCTTTTAATAAGCAAACAATTTTTTTAATGAATTCCATAAAACTCTCCGATACTGTAATACGTAATTGTGGGATGCAATTAAATCCCAACCAGTATTCTTTTTTTTTTATTGGATTTTTATTTACATTTCATATGTTAACCCATTCCCCCCCATTCCCAGGAACCCCCCCATCCCCTCACCCCTCCTCCTGCTTCTCTGCTAATGTGCCCCTACCTACCCCCCACTCCCACCTCCCCACCCTCAAATTCCCACCCACTGGGGCATCCAGCCTTCATGAGACCAAGGATCTCTTCTTCCACCTATACTCGACAGGGCCCTCCACCCTTACATATACAGCTGGAGCCATGGATCCTTCCCTAAGTGCTCTCAGGGTGGTGGTTTACCAACCAGTATTCTTACTTTTCATTCATGTGCTCTAATTTCCTGCTGTGAAATATAGTTTTCTACCTAAGTTGTTTAATTTTGGAAATCAACTCACACCTTATTATTGGACTTGTCATATAGCTACTAGTCTTGAATCCCTTTATTTCTGTGGCATTAAATTTATTTACACTTCCAATAAATTTTAATTAAAATCTTGTTATACCATTATCCCCTTGTTTTTGTCCTTCCTGCTGCTTCTTTGTAATCTTTCCACTCCTACCATATTTTCCTACTATCAAATTGATGTCCTTTTTCCTTTGACTATTATTGTTACATATATGTGTCGTATATGAATGTATATGCACACATATATAAATACAACCTAAAGAGTCTGTTGGATTGTTTTGTATACATGGTTTCTGCATTGACCATTGTGTACCTATTTAGGGACTCATCATTGGGAGCAGCTCTCCTGCTCTCTGAAGTGTTTTGCTGCATCAGTTTAATATCTTTTACCACTTTATATAATTGATCATTTTTCCAATGCTCTATGTTATTTTATTAATTTTCCATTTTCAGCACCCCATCTGTATGTTTTTTGCTCTAATATTTACTTTGTAACTTGCTAATCTGAAGCTTAATTCGTGGTTTGCTTTTTGTTACTTGATATAACAGTCTTTGGTCAAAATATATATTATTTCATTTGAAGATTATTAGTGTGGATGCTTATTATAATTAACTATCTTTTAGTGATGAACATGTTGAATCCAATAATAGTCATACAATACCTTTTGACTTGATCTGTTTTCTAAGTTGTCTTTATTTTCTTCTTTAATCTATTTTCAAAATTTAATTTATAAGCATTTTGTGATTTTCTCCCCATTTTATCATTGATTATCTGTTCACTTTGAAGTTAGAAAACTTTGGGGTGATTTTATCTGTTGTTTACTTGTTAAGACTTATTATGTTTCAGCAAGTGATGTTCCAGGTATATTTCACTTGGTATAATATGCTCCAGGATGATCCATGCTGCGGCAAATGGAAGAAGGAATGCAGGTACTTCACAGGCTAAAGAACTGACGATTCTTATTGATGGAGAATAACTGGTACACACTTCTGATACTTTTGAGGTAAATTTTCCATATATCTCTAGTAGATTCTGTTGATACGTGCGCAAACACCTTAAACTTTTAAAATTGGTTTTCAGTATGATCGATGGCTACGTATTAAAAGATTTTCAATGTTTCTATTTTGGTATTTATTAAAAATCTGGGAGTATAAGCTTTTATATTGAGATGCTCTGATGATAAAAGTACAGACATGTATAATTGTAATTTGTTCTTCTTAGTGCCTTTCTATTTGGTAATGATCTTTGACTCCAGTGCCATTTTAACCTAAGTTATGTACTGTTTTAGAGCAGTTGTAAGAGCTCACTAAGCAGTATAGTATGAATCCACTCAACCTCCCAGTTGCCACTCACTTCAGCTGCAGTAGGAGACTTTCTTTGTAGATGTGATGTCATACGACCTTGAAATGCCCTCGTGCAATATCATTTTGTGCATTCTTCCTGCTTTCTATATTATCATTTTGCTGCTAACATTGTGTTAGCATTGAACATGTCTAAATAGGGTTTTCAAATCTTTGCATAGATATTGAAAATTTACAACACACATGAGGAGACGCCTTGTAAAATTAACTAGGTTTATCTGTTCAGTAACCGTGGAGTTTCAACATACTCCCATCCTGTAGTTGCTGTACAAATCTGGTGTTGTATAATTACCCTGACATAGTCATCATGGTCATTGTGAATGGATGCTCTTTGTAAGTGACCACATTCCTTTTCTGTAGCACACTGTAGCTGTAATTAAATTGTGCTTTAGTCAATCCTGCTTCCTGTTCTGTTCCCTAGTTACTCATTCCAAACCACCATCCTATATTGCTGCAGAAGGTGACTCTGATGATATCACAGACACCAGGTTTCCTGAACCATTGCAAGGAATTTCATCTACTGATAAAAATCTAGTGTTCAGTATCTTTTGTACTACACCCAGAAATATGTTAGTTGATGTATTCTTAAATTTGGTTTTACATTTTAATTTTACTGCTCACTTTACTGTGATTCTAAATAATTTGTGGACATTTTAGTCTTGATGGAAATCTCAAATACAATTCAGATATGCTTATGTATTCAACAGATGCCATAGTAGTATATTTGAAAGAATGTTTTTTCTCTCTTAACATCTTGACAAAACATTTTACTGCAATTTTTGTGAAGAAATAAATTATGCATAAAAGGATTAAATGTAGTTAATATTCACTAGTTAATGTCACTAAGGAATATTTTCCTTAAGCACTGTGCCTTTCATGCTGTTAGAATTTTTAGGTTTCCAAAATAAAACATTTAGTACATCTTACCTTTTCAGGAAAAAAGAAGTAAATATGGCTATCTCACCACTTGAAATTCCTTTGTCACTCCTTTTCTGTCTTTTTCATTGTTGCTTTGTTGTTCTACTCTTCTTGGAGTGTTTTTCTTTCTAATTAATTAATGTTTAAAATTTTTGGTTGATGACATGAGAATATATTAAAACTTGTTACTTTAATTTATTAAGCTGATAGCACCTTACCTTTAATTTTATGCACTTAGACCTTTGTACTTTAGCAACCCTATATTAATTATAAGTTTTAGAACTTTTATATTGTGCATCACTCATGGAATTTAATAATATGCTGATCATTATTGGAGAAACATAGTATACATAAACATCAACCAAGCTTTGACTTAAACTCAAAAACATAAAAGATATCATGCATTGCAACATGCTTAGTTTTTTTCTATAAACTGTTTTATGCTCCAGAAGTCAGCTGGCCAAAATAAATATTTCAGGGTTACTTTGGATATGTATGTAAGTGCTCTTGACATACCCAAACACTTGCCAAAAACAAAAAGAAAGAAAGAAAGAAAGAAAGAAAGAAAGAAAGAAAGAAAGAAAGAGAGAGAGAAAGAAAGAGAGAAAGAAAGAAAGAAAAAGAAAGAAGTTTCCTTTAAAAAGGGGCAGTTTTGGTGCACACCTTTAATCCCTGTACTTGGGAGGCAGAGACAGGCAGATTTCTGAGTTCAAGGCCAGCCTGGTCTACAGAGTGAGTTCCAGGACAGCCAGGGCTATACAGAGAAACCCTGTCTCAAAAAACCAAAATAACAACAACAAAAACAAACAAACAAAAAAACCCCAAAAACCCAAAAAACAAAAAAGGAAGAAACTTGGTTTTAAGAAACTGAAACTATCATATTTTACATGAGTGATTTTCAGAAAAACCTGAGGTTTCTGTAAAAAGAGAAAATTGTGTCTCATGAATGCAAAGCTAAATGTGCTTAGGTTTTCAGGCAAATGCCTATTCTAAAGGTCTCAGATCTTCCAAAGACAAAGTAAGATTATTTCCTAAACTCTGCCTTCTTCCATGCTCATCTTTCTCTTTCCCAAACTTATGCTCATGTTTCTCACTTTCACCTACACTTCCCACCATTCCGTATCATGTACATATGCATAGACATATGAAAATAATCATATAACATAAATGCATTTTATAGGTAAATATATATATATATATATATGAAAATAGCTTCATAAAACCAATATTAATAATAAATCCCACAAGTTAAATTTCTCTGGGCATTTCTGATTGATATCAGTAGTTTATTTGGAAGAAGAACTTACCATATTTTAATCAACTTAGTATTTACTAAGGCAAGAATTTTATTAGACAGATGCTATGAAAATCAATTCTAAGTACTTAACAACACACAATACAATCAGACAGACAGCCCAATCTATCAGTTAACAACTTAGCATGTTAAAAAAAATGTATACAAGCTGAAGAAACAAATGGTTGATTTTTTCACACAAAAGGGCAGTTTTTAGAAAACAGGCATAAAGCATTTTAAGAGAAAAGCTAGTGATCTGTCCATTATATTAAGTTATTCTCTGTTCTTCTTCTTCTTTTTTTTTTTTTCAGAAAACTTGCACTTTGAGATGAAGCCCAATTCCACCCTGGTGACAGACTTCCTCCTTGAGGTTTTTGCTGAGACTTGGGAGCTCAGGATCCTAATTAGTGTGCTGTTCCTGCTGGTGTATCTCACCAGCCTGTTAGGGAATCTTATCATCATCGTTGTTACAACAGTTGACCTGACCTTTAACACCCCCATGTACTTCTTCCTCAGGAATCTTTCCATTGTAGCCATGTGTTACATTTCTGTCACTGTCCCAAATGCTTGTTTCAACTCTCTCACTGACCACAGGAACATTTCTGTGGCTGGGTGTGCAGCACAGATCTTTTTTGAATTCTTTTGTGAATGCATAGAGATTTTTTTTTCTCTCACTGTCATGGCTCAGGACCACTATATGGCCATCTGCAAGTCTCTCCTCTACCTTATAATCATGAACTACCAATTCTGTGTTCAGATGACACTGGCTTCCCTGCATATCTCTCTTGTCACTGCAAGTGTGCACACTTTCAAAACATTTCAGCTTTCTTTCTGTCACTCTAATGTGGTTCCTCAGTTCTTCTGTGATATCCCCTCTTTGTTGAAACTTTCATGTTCAGATACCTTTAACAACAAAATCTTAATGCTTATCTCTGCCATTGTCATTGGTTGTAGCTGCTCTATGTTCATTGTTGAATCATATGTTCTGATAATATCAACTGTGTTGAAGATTCCTGTCAAAGGAGAGAGACGGAAGGCCTTTTCCACCTGTGTCCCTCACATTATTGTGGTGTCTGTCTTTCTTAGTTCTGCTGCCTATGTGTATCTAAGACCTCCAGTACTAACATTGGAAGTAGCTAAGGAGATGACTCTTTCTGTATTTTATACCATTGTTCCACCATTCTTAAATCCTATCGTCTATAGTCTTAGAAACAGACAGATAAAGGAGGCTGTGAAAAAAGTAATATTAAGAATTTCTTTCATATTTGATATAAAAGGAATGAGTATTTGTCAGAGTTTTCTAGAGATAGAAAACTGACAAAATAAAAAGAAATATTTATGCATAAACACACAGGCACAGACACACACACACACACACACACAAACACACACCATCACCACTACCACTTCCACCAAGCCTACAAGCATTTTCTCCTTTAATTAGAGACCTATTTTTTTCAGATAATGTATCCTGACTATGTTCTCCTACTTCTATTCCTCCTAGTTCACCTAGGATAAAACAAGATAGCACCGAAGAAGCAAAGAAATTGAAAATAACACAAGAAAAGGCTCAAACACACACAGACACACACATCAGGCGTGTATAGAGTCAGACCTACTTGCTCAAACACTGAAGAAACTCATAGAAGCAGTAAAATTAAAGCAGTAATATATATATATATATATATATATATATATATATATATATACATACATACAGAGGACTTATAGAGAGATAAGACAGCGAAATACACACACACACACACACACACACACACACACACACACACACATACACAATAAGTTTGTTGTCTGCTGACCATGTACTAATGGGCTTGAATCCTTCAAGACTTATTTATTTACCCAGTCAGACTCCCTTGGAGGAAACTAAATTTATCCTTGAAAGTGATTATCAATTCGAGATTGTTTCTTAATTAGAGATAAATTCATGTGCCCACTTCTCATTTCAACTCTAGTATCCTTTATGGTGAGAACTATATAGACTCATACATGCTAACTCATCTCTGTGAATCTATATGCATAGATTATGTTGATTCTGAGGAGAGCATCTTATTTGTGCCTTTCATCATCTCTTACACTAATACTATTTTTTCTTCCTCTTGCATAGGACTTCCTGATTCCAGAGGAAAGGATTTGATAGAGATGTGCTATTTAATATGATAATTCTGTGGTCTCTCATTTATGCAAAATATCTGGCTGAGGGTTTCTGCATTTGCTCCCATATGTTCCAGGACAAAGTTTCCGATGGTGGCTAATCAAGGAAGAGATCTATAAATATAGCAGATTGTCATAGGAGTCATTTTATTATTAAGTTTTTTTAAACTTAATTAAATTAATTCATTAAAAAAATAGAACAGTATTGTCTGCTTTTATCCTAGGTTCTGGAGCTATCTAGTTTTGGGTTCTTGGTTAGCCAGGCAGTGGGGAGTGTAGGGTTTATCTCATGAAGATGGCCCTTACTTACTTCAAGATGCCCCCAAGTCAGACACTGAGATGCTAATCAATGCAAAAGCAAGAAGTTTATTTGCTGAATGGCTATTACAAGCAGTTTTTATACTTTTTAGTGGCACAGGTTATATCAGCAAGGTTACAGTTCAAACTTATTGGCTAAACATATTGACCTTTTAAATCTATTGGCTAGCAAGCATGTACACATTTGAACTCTACCTGGGACTTTCCAGAGGATCAGGTGACTATCAGTCAATACATTCTGAAAATCTTTTATTCAAGAAGGATCCTGTGGTCGTGGAATGGAACTTGGCCTAGTCTTGACCCAAGGAGGGTGGGTGTAAGGCTCATGAAAGTCCCTAGGGCCCTTCAGTTCAATGAGGTACTGAGAAGAAGACATATTCTTTTGTGTTTGGTTGAATTGTTCTGTAGATGTTTGTTAGATCTATTTGAATTATAACATTGTTAGTTTCATTGTTCTTCTATTTAGTTTCTGGTTGGATGACCTGTCATTTGTAGAGAGTAGGATGTATGGCATTCAATATGTGATTTAAGTTTTAATATTTTTTTTTTATTTTTATGAAGGTGGGTGCCCTTGAATTTGAGGTATAGATATTTAAAATTGAGAAGTCTTCTGGGTTTATTTTTCATTTGATGGGTATGAAGTGTCCTTCCCCATTTGAATAATTTTGGTTGAAAATCTATTTATTTTATTATTTTATTTTATGGTTTTTTTTTATATATTTGAAAGACTACATCAGCTTGCTTCTTGTGTCCATTTTCTTGGAAACACTTTTTCCAACCTTTTCCTCTGTAATAACATCTACCTTTAATATTGAGGTATATTTCTTGTATGCAGCAGAATGATGAATCCTGTGTGTGAACATAGCCTGTGAGTTAGCCTGTGTCTTTTTACTGGGAAGTTGTGTCCATTGTTGTTGAGAGATACTAATGAAAACAAATTGTTAGTTCATGTTATTTTAATGTTGGTGAAGCAGTAGTAGTAATAGTTGTTGTTGTTGGTGTGTGTGTGTGTGTTTGCTTTCCTTCTTTTGGTTTTTCTGGTATGGAATTTATTTCTGCTGTTCTCTTGGGGGTAGTTAATCACCTATTTGAGTTTTGCTTCTAGTATCTTCTGCTGGGTTGTATTTCTGGATAGATATTGTTTAAATTTGGTTTTGTCATGGAATATCTGTTTTCTCCATTTATGGTGATTGAAAGTTTGGTTGTATATAGTAGTCTGGCCTGGCATCTGTGGTCTTTTAGAGTCCTCAAGATATTTAACTAGGTCCTTCTTGCTTTTAGAATCTCTGATGAAAAGTTGGGTATATTTCTAATAGGTCTGCCCTTATATGCAACTTGCCCTTTCCCCCTTTCATCTTTTAATATTCTTTCTTTCTTCCATACATTTAGCATTTTGATTATTATGTGGGATGGAACTTTCTTTACTGGTCTAATCTATGTGATGTTCTAGGAGCTGCTTGTATGTTTATATGCATCTCTTTTTTTAGTTTTGGTAATTTTTCTTCTACGATTTTGTTGAAAATATTTTCTTAGTCTGTAAGCTAGGAATCTTCTTCTATTCTTATTGATCTTAGCTTTGGTCTTTGCATAGTATCTCAGATATCCTGGATGATTTGTGTCAGGAGCTTTATAGAACTAACATTTTCTTTGACAGATGAACCCGTTTCTTCTAGCATATCTTCAGCCACTGAGATTCATTTATTCATTCCTTTTATCCTGCTGATAATGTTGCATATTGTGGTTCTTGCTTGCTTAGCTAAATTTCCATTTTTAGAATTCTATCAGTTTGTATTTTCTTTATTACTTCTATTTCAATTTTCATGTCTTGAACAGTTTCCTTCACCTATGTCTTCCTCCTCAATCCTCTGGCTTCCTTGGCATTCATTAAGGGATTTATTAATTTCCTTCAGTTTTTACTTGTCTTTTCCTTAAATTCTTCAAGGGATTTATTGATCTTGTTTTTTCTTCAAAAACCTTTATGTCTTTATAAAGTTTGTTTTAAGGTCATTTTTCTCTTCTTCAGTTTCATTGGAATATTCAGGTATTTCTGTCATTAGATTGCTGGACTCTGGACATGCCATATTGTTGTGGCCATGATTAATTGTGTTTTCACCCTGGCTTTTAGGTATCTGAGTTTGGAATGATTACAGACCTAGTGCTATTTTCTGAGATTGTCTTTGTCAGATGTGTCTTTTGTTCCTTAGTTTCTGTTTCCTTTTTTGACTTTTGGGTTTTGTAGCCTGGATACATAAAAGGTTGCTTGAGTACTGGGGATTCTCTGACCAGGTTTGGGGCTTGACTTCTGGCAAGGGGTCTCTGTCTTTCTGACTGTTATGTCCTGAACCTCAGTAGCTGGAGTCTGTCAGAATTGAGGGCAGAGGCCTGGCCATGAGGAAGGTGGTGAGGTAGGATTGGAGATAAAATAAATTGAATCTTGTAAAACTACAGTTAGATAGTGGGGCAGTTTGGCTGCCAGAGAGGTCACTCACCTGTTCTTCTCTGACCTCATTTTTTTTAAATTGTTACCTAAAATACAAGAATTGTGAGTATTTTAAAGTATAGTGCACTGCTTTGTTTTTGTTAACTTAACGTGAACCTAGACATATCTAGAAAAACAGAATCTTAGTGCCATTCCTGAAGAGTTGTCTTAGATGATGTAAGAAAGCATGTTAAGGAAGCCATAAAATGCTAACAAATACTCAGCATACACAGTGATCTCTATATCAATTCCTATCAACAGGTTCCTGCTCTGAATTCCTGCCCTGTCTCCCATCAGAGATAGAGTAGAATCTGAGTGTTGTACACTGAAATAAACCCTTTCCTTCCCAAATTATTTGGTTTCATAGTGTTTTATCATGATGAGAGAAACCCTAAATAAAACCAAATTGGTATAATGTTCCTGGATCATTGTTTTGTTCATCTGGAAATGTTGGTGAAAAGGACTTTAGAATTTTGGGCTAGAAAAATCCTTTGAGTGTTTTGAGATTAGTGAGTAATTATGGGAACATATATGATGATGTAGACAGTAATGTGGATCCTGGAGACTTGGCTTGTTACGTTCCAGAGTAAGACTTAGAGTCCTTTAATTACTCTATTAGCAAAATCAATATTTTAAATTAAAAACATTTTGTTTTGTCAATTGCAGCTGTTCAGCTGGGCTGTTTAAGAAGAAGCTGCAAGACTCTGGAAAGCCTTATCTTACCAGGGACGCCCCGAGTAAACCATGGGGAGCCAGAAATCAATGCAAAAAGCAAGAGGAATTTATTGTTCCAAAGAGTTGGGGGTCATCCTACACAGAAGGTGAAGTGGCTACCATGACAGACAGCTTGTTCAGTAAGCTTTTTATATAGTCTTCAGGGCAGCAGCCATAGGCACAATGTGATTGGCAGAACAGTATGACTTTTTAAGCTGATTGGTCTTTAGGGGATGAGGTAACAAGGACTTCCCTTGCTTGTAGGTGGCCAATGGTCAGTCCTGGGGAATGTCTCCCCTGCCTGCAGGTAGGTTCACACCCCCTTCCCCTGCCTGTCGTCTGAGGAATGTTAATTAGCCTCTCCCTTTTAGAGGGGAAAGTGTTCTTTGACCTTTCCAAAGTTCCTGAGCTGACCTCTTCAAAACCAGCATTACTTAGGCAAAATCTCTGCAAAGTATTTCTTCAGGATCAGCATGCAAAGACTTTGGTCCAGAAGAGGCAAAAGTTGATATGTGCCAACTGATACTAGTTTTTAAGGCATGGATAGGGTCAAGCATAGCACTGAACCTTAGCCTTATAAGAAATGAGGGTAGCTACTGAGGCTTGGCATAATGAAAGACCATAAAAAAGACTA